GTAGGGCCGAAAACTAAAACCGTACATCATTGTGCTCCCATGAGAGCAAACTGCAGTGTCCCCTTGCATCCTATTGACAGTAATGCGTTTGAAGGCACTCTGGCTGTGACTCATCTCAGCCCGCTGCAGTTGGCGGAAGCTACAATCCAACTGCGTCACCTGACACAGGCTGCAATCAGCCCTTCTTTTGCCGGGATTGGCTGTAGGGATTGCTCCAGTAAGTATGTGAGGATGTTAGATAGGCTACCTACAGGGTTAATACGGGGTTTAGGGCATGAGCCCAAACTCACGGCGTGGGTAAAAAACATTGATGAAGCTGACAAGCTCCACTCCGAGGCCACTAAGAAATTGTGGTTCTTGGCATGTAGGATGTCGCTATCTTTTGGCACCACTCTCTGTTGGCTGCCTTTCAGCGCCACTTCTTAATCTGGCCGCTGGGGTGCAATTGGGGTGGTTCGGGCATCGAGGTTGAAGCGCAAAGGCATCTCGTCGTCGGCCAGCATCCCATATATAGGCCACACAGCTAGTGGGGTGGGGTTTGGGTTCTGGGCTTCATTCGGACACTCTGCCCATGAATAGCTCTAAAGCTTATGTGCGGAATCAGTCCCAAACTGCTATAGTCCAAACTCCAAGTATCTCCTTTAATAAGCCCCATAAAGCTCCCCAGGACTTTAGACCATAGCTCCATGTAGACAATCCCAACCTCCAAGCCGAGGCTCTAAGCCATAATCAGATGGGTTGTTCTCCAAATTATGGGCCCCTTTTGGTTATAGGTTATATTACAGCACCTAATATTTAAGGGTACAAAATGGGACCCTAAATTTGGGAACTAAGCGGGTACTACTCCTGCATTTGAATCCTACTAGTCGTTGTCTCTCGTGGTGCTGCTTCAAGGGCTTGGGGCTTCTATAGCAGTAGCACCAGCCTTTACAACAATAAGAATGGATGCGTAGTACTGCAACTGATATCAAAAAGCATGCTAAAAAGGTAGTAGAAACAGCGGTGGTAACAGCAGAAATCATTACAGGGTAATCATCCAATATCACGTGCAAGGTTTCAAGTTGCAGCTTTGCATCACGGCTGTTGTCTGGGTAGGGTGGTTTCCGGACCCCCTAAAGGATCCACAAAATGCCCCCTAATAATTCCCTAGTTTCTCCAACGTAGTAAATGGGTTCATATTGGGGGGGGTCCATTTTTTGGATCCTTTAGGAGGTCTGGGTTGTGGTAGGGATCAATCGATTTCAACGCGCCCGGCCTTTGTCTTCATGCAGGTCCAACAGCATGTAACTCCTTGGAATATAGGAAGAATAGAAAAGAAAATGGAAACTACTATGTTATACTAAGGTATATATTGTGGCTATACAGGGATAATGGAAAATAAAATGGAAACTAGCTTCTGGAAGATGGGGAGCGGATGGCTCATGTCCTCTGTCAATTCCCCTCCAAAAACATCTTTGGGCCAATAAGTGGAGCCGTGGGCTGTTGCACCACGTTTGACCTGGTGTTTGCAAGGCTTGCTTTTGTCAACGCTACAACTTATGGGCTAAGCCTTGCAACTGGGGGCATGGCGCTTTGCCTTTTTTAGATGTAAGGGTATTTCGAACAGAACCGAGCGCTGACCAAAGCTTTTTGGACTACCATGGCCTGTGGTTTCCAAGTCAGGTTGCTGTAGGCTGGGCCATGAAGAACTTCCCATTACATGCAGTGATGAAACTCTTGAAAAAGAATACTAGGTTCCACAATGGGTTGGGGTGGAAGCCAAAATCTAAGGCAGAGCACCGCAGTGCCCCACATCAATCCCAAACTTGCCTATAAAGCTCTTAGCTCCAAACCGCAGCCGTATAGCCTACCCACAGAACCTTTCAACCAAAAGCCCTACGGCTCATACAGAAGCTTGTGTTGCCGGTTATCCAGGCCCCTGACACATCACCTTGACGATAGAAAGCAAGACCTGCCTGGGCCCATTCCTGCACAAGCTGGGATTTAGAGCGGGAGAATGTATAGGCCTGAGATGACTTGAGGTTTTAGCGGAGCTGTAGCACTGTAGTGTAGGCTCAGGGCCGAGGGTCTCCAAACCGAAAGCAACTGGAGTCTCAGTATGAGTGCGCTTGGATGATGCCACTAGGGACGCGCAGACAGAAATCGAGGGCACTCGTTTGTAGCCTCCTTCCTTCTTTCAGAGTCCTGCGCCACAGGCGGTTGGAGAGCCACCTACCTAAAGCTACCACTGGATGCGATATTATTTGTCGACAGCCTCTGCATGCTAGCCGCTTCATGAGCATGTTAGGCCAGAAAATCTCGAAGGACGACAGAAAGCTCGGTAGCCACTCTTCCAGCAACGGAGCAGACAGAGCTTATCAGAGCTTATCAGAACAGCATCTTAGGAATATGAACCTCCAGGTAAAAGAGATGACAGCGGCAACAGACATCATACAAGCTACCATCGTGCCTACAGCCGCGCCATTGCAGACTTGATGACAATGAATTGCAAATATGTTGCAAAATCAATAAGGACAAGCACCATCGGCTGCCCTTTAAACCAAAATGTATTAGGCTAGTGAGCCATGCAGTATGCGGTGCGCAATGGTGCGCACCCGCCTGTTCCTCCACCACGCTGAATCCCCAGCGACGATGCGCTGCCTGAGATGTAGAAATTCTTGCTTGCATCGGATACTACTGCCGGGATGATAAGCATCCTCATCCTGTCAAACATGCAGGCTGGTTCTTAGCTAATGCTGCAGGTGCAGGCTTTCGAAACGGGAGGGCGGAATGGAATTGTGGGTTAGCTAGGCTTGATTTACTTGGGGTCATCATCCTGGGTCTCCTCAACACTTGGGATGTTCTGCCAGATAGCGTGTAGGCTTGAAGTTGAGATTCCTTTGGCATGTCAACCCCTGCTCAGGGCGAATGGTTCGCCGATTCTAAAACCATCTGATGTCGTGAAGCTTCCTGCAAGTTCACCATGCTGGGGTTCATACTGTGGTTAGTGCTTTGGGTCTAATTATTCGGCCGTGTCATGTGAGGAAGGGAGATCTGGAACAACTTGCTGCTGCAGGGTGAGTGCTTCAAGGCAACACAACTACGTGTTCAACAGCACCCTAGTACAGCAACCTCTCACACCTCAACCATACAATTCCAGCTCAAAGTCTCTCCTGTTGCCCCACGTCTCAGGGTACAACTCTAAAAGGCCCAGGTTGACTCCCTCGATGCTGTGCCATTTCTGGGATCTCTGCCACGCGCGCAACCTCAACCCGCCCACCCTGAACTCTGGATCTGGACGCTATATGGGTGCTGAGCCTGGAGCAAAGGCCTTCGGCCTCGACAAGTCTACTCCTGAACCAGTGTATGAGTCAGCATTACTGCCACAGCGACGCTAGTCCTGCGTTTACAGCCGGAGAGGGGGCGGTGAGGATGGAGGATTTTCAGCCTGAAGCCGACCATCTTATAGCTCTTGTCGCTACGCTTCCGTCTTGATCTCAGTGTTGTATGTCGACAATGAAAACTACCCGTCACGAAAGACCTCTGCCGGCATCGTATGCCTGAGAATTTCTGAGCACTGGGCTTGTTAATTCCTCCAGTGCTCCATTACAGTGAATCGTGACTCCCTTTTTCGTGCGTTCCTGGCACTATTGCTCTGCTCCTGAGTAGAGTCGCATGATTTGCTGCGCCTGCCAGGGACATGCTTGCAGCTCATCCAATTGAACAGGAGAAAGGGGTAGGGTTTTGGAGGCATGGTTTTGGGCCGAAGCAGTCCGGGTCTACGCTGACGTCCTCATTACCAAAACTTAACAGTTTGACAGGTGTGCTGGTACCTGTGACTCCAACTGCATAGCCCACGACTTGGAGCAAGCCTTTCTACCGACTCAAGAACCCTGACAATGCCAGCGGAATCAGTCTTTCACAAGAGCTGCACACATCTTGTCCAAGAGTGGACGGTAATCACAAAGACTTCACATCGAGAACTCTGCTCCCAAAGAGGATCTCAGCTGAGAGTGCTGGTAGCCTGAAGGAAGCGAGCGGCCAATCGCAGCCTTGGGGCGATGGTTGTGGGATGGTTTAAGGAATGTTACAGGCTTCCAGCATTTGATTTCTTCAGAGCATCTAGTCCGCATTCGCCGAAAAACTCCCAGAAATCCTACATAAGCACTGGTTCCAAGCCGCAAAACTAAGCAACCAACAAGCTTACAGGACACCCTGAGCCAAATCCCCAATCAGAAAACACTCCAGTCCTGAGAGCTAAGCAAAGCAGCGCCGGCACCACTCTGCTTAGAGGCGATGAACCTTCGAAGCCAGATATATCCGGGCATTGAGACTTGAAGTGTGCTGGAACTCCTGCCACGTGAGAGGCCTCTCCTCTGTGCCTTTTATTCTGTTGCTCAAATGCATAAAGGCATAGCGCATTATTTGAGCACATTCCTCTGATCCATGCTACACAAGATTTTTTAAATCGAGCTAATAGCTGTCTGCTCGCTTCTTTCACCATGATCCTGGGTATTGTTAATGGCATTCGACATACTATCGCTGCTGTGGTCAGGATCTTGCTGAAAAGCATGAGAAACTCTATAAACCCTGGATCACCATCATGGGAACCCTCATTCTGGGATGCCTTGGCGGTCCTTCTAAATAAGCCCCGAACTTCACATACTTTTCTAAAAGCACCCAGAGACGGCCCGAGACCCCCACTCCAGGCATCCACAACGCCTGCGACCGCGATACCTGCCGAGGAATTTTGGCTGCTGCTGGAAAAGAAAACTGGAAACCATCAAGTAACTCAAAATATAGTGGGTCGTAGGAAGCTTCGTATGGAAACAAGGGTCTTGTGTCTTGGTGTTAAAGCTGAAGGTGCTATAGCTGCCATATGATGCTATAAGATGGATCTCAACTTGCAACGCTATGGCGCAGCGGCCCTGCGTCTCTATGCCAGACCCCAAGTCCGCATCCTTACTCCCGGAACCCTTTGCACCAGCCCTATATCCCCCCTCCGTTCATGCTTTTTCGTTTCAGGCATTTGGGACAGCATCCACGCTCAGAGGCAGCGGGCCGACACGCGGCTTGGCCGTGTGCATGCCCACTAGGTTGAAGTTGGTGCCTGCAAGCTGAGGAGCAACATGGTTCGAGGTTAGGGTGCAAGAATACGTGCTTTGGGGTAAATACAGTTTAAAGGTCTCGCGTGTAGAGGTGTATGAACAAGCAACTGACCGTTGCTATACCTAGGTGCCCCTTCCTACCAAATGGTCATATTATCGAGCTAGTGCTGGTGCATGGGGGTTAGGCTCAGGCTCTGGGAGCAAAGGGCTTCTGGTCTGGGATCTGCAAGGCTTGGGCTTGGGCTCAGGTAAGTCCAGGTTCGGCTCGCGTTCGCTCCATGACTGCTTTGCTTCGTCGGCTAATGCTCACCTATAGGCCTAGATGAACGAACTTGCTTTCCAGCTGGTCTAACAGGTTGAACAAACATGGTGTCAAGCATGTTGCTCGTCTGGCCCAATCTCGGGAAGATTGCCTCAAACTGCCTGGGATTTGAAGACATTGGAAGTGTGCAGTATATTCCAGAAGGCCAAATTCTGGGTGCAACCGTTCCTCATTGATTTTGTTCAGCACGTTGAGCCACCATACCTGAAACTTCGAAACACTTCCTGATCTCCAACCCAAAGTCTAAGTACCCTCCATACCCTGAACCCTTAGAGACTTAGAGTAGCACAAGTTATGCCAAGCAGCTTCTTGGGAAGACGTCGCCAAAGGCCTGGCACACTTGGTTCTACTACCCCTAAGCTCTGAAAACTGTTAATCAGGGATATGACCAACAACACCTTAAAAAATCTAGAGTACTTTAAATAGGGGGATGAAAGCTAGATGGCCTTAGCAAAAACAAGAAAACCCACGCTTGTTTCCACTCAACAGGCCACCGCCCAAGACACACGAATACAAACGAATAAAGAAAGTTTAATGAGTCACCTTAGCAGTTCCTCGCCGCCGTCGCTCGTTTTCCTGGAGCGATTCTGACATAAAGGATTGAGTGTTCAGGGGCTGTTGTCAATCTTGAACAGAGCAGCGCAACTAGGCTGGGAAGATTGCCAGAAAGTTCTCAGAAACTGAAAAGCAGCCGCTGAATAAAGTTTGGCACGCAAACTTCCAGGATCATGCAGTAGCGCCCCTGTCCCTTGCTCACGCATCTCTCACTTGTCTGAGACCTGGCTTGACCCGCAACTAGCAAAAGCATATTGCAAGCAAAGCATAGACCGCAACACCCGCGTCCTGGTGCTCAACTGAAATGCCAGCCTTCATCATTGCAGGGGTTGAGTTGTGGCAGACGAAGGCAAAGGTCAGAAGTAAGCTCCGAATGATATAGGGTTAGCGCTCGTTACAAATCGGTGTCTGAGCGACCAGGCTTAGAATCATGAATCAGAGATTCAGCCTCGAATTTCCCTCCCATGAGCTCGAATGCCGTACCTCTACACAACCCAAAACTGAATTCATATCTTAGGCGGCGTTGCATTTCTGGGCCCTAGCAGGTGAAGCTACATGCAAAGGAGACTTCAGGCCGCTGCTGCCTTTTATCGAATGATCTCAGAAACAGCCTGTCCCGATGATCTGTTCTAGTGTGCTGGAAGCCTCCAACCCCACAAGCATTCCTAAACCCATCCTCATTCCTTGCGCCATTTGGTGGGACCCTGAACCCAAAGCCAAACCTTAGGCTTAGAAACCTTCAACACAAGAAAACAGCAACTCCAACACCTGCGAAACCAAAGCCAAAGCCTTCTGCTGATCACCAAGGCCTGAGCCCTGTGCCCTTGATGTTACGAGAAGCTTCTGTATTTTCCGAGAGGCCTTCACCGTCGATGCCACTTCCAAAGCAGCGACCTGACGGTTTTTCATCGAGGCCTATCTCCTCTCCTACTTGCTCACCTGATATATGAGACCTCTCAAGGATGCGTAAGGCCTGCTCAAGAAGGCGGCTCAATTCGTCACTTTAAGCTCTTAAGGACGGCAGAGGAATCATAGAAACTTGGTTGTGAATCAGGTGCCCTTAGCCACGTGGTGCAGGGTAAGACTGAAATGCAAAGTCAGACATCGGTAACAAGCGGACGCATTTGGATGATGCTTTGGTGTTCCGCCTCGAACGTCTTGGATTCAAGGGCCACTCCAGAGGGCAAAATCAATCTGCAACCCTGCAAGCCTCGGCGCAAGCCTGAACCACTGGACACACGCTCAATGCACTGGACTTATGGAGTCCCGGCTCTGAGGGCCCTGACCGCTCGAGCGACGTGGTCGCACAGTTTGTTCTCGAGGGCGAAGTCCCTCGCCTGCACCACGTCAGAAACATTTCTTGCGGGTTGTTTGACTCGGCCTTCTGGGGAATGCAACCCTACACTTCTGACCAAGGTTCGAAACCTCATGCAAGTTGCTTGCTGCCACGTCAAAGAGCATTTCTGGAAGTCGACAGGGATGACAGGGGAGTGCCAGTAATGCATTCATTGTGCTGTCCAGATCTAAGGCTCCCAACTCCTGAATCTCAACCACAACTCCTCAAATTATTTCAGTTGAATGCCCGCAGCTTGCCCATTGCACCCCAAAGCAACGAACCCAAGCCCGGACCGTGAAATCTGAAGCCTACGCCTGGAATCCTCAGGCCCAAAAACCCAACCCCTGAACCCCATCAACATCAACTCCAGACACAAATCATGGCAGGCGGTCACTTCAGAACATGGATCTCTAAGCATCTTTGTAAGTCTAACAAAGATTGAAAAATTTGTGTCAGATAACTCAGAGTGTAAGATTTGTGTTAAAGAGGTGTTTTCTGTCAGATAGCAAGCAGCACATTCAGCCTGGGTCTCCTTGACCAGTCTCTGCGTCTTCTCCTGCCATGTCGGCATTGCGGTGGGGTTAAAGTCAAACCCTAGGGTTTAGGGTTTATAGGGTTTAGAGTTTAGGGCGTAGGGTATTGGTTCTTTGGCAGTAGCTTTCTGACATGCACAGTCCTCGAGGTACCGTGCGCGGCCTTTTGCTTCTTCGAGGTTGTCATTCACCACCTGAGCTACACTCAAAACTCGCAACGCCGGACCCGCCTAACAGGAAGCCGTTTCCTGTTTTTGGATCAACACTATTTTGATCCACACTATGCGAAGATGACTACAGGGATTACTGTAGGAATGGCCCATGAGAGCAGACATGGGGCCATTTCTCAACATGAGGATCCAACAGGACCCCCCCCCCCCAAATTATCAGCTTCTAACATCCAAAGCAAAGGATTGTTATCCATCATGTAGGCCCTGTGCAGCCGCATGAAACTTTCTCTCAAGTGTTGATTGTTTAAGGTCGGGCTCTCCTCCGTGGCGCCTTTTGCTCAGAATCTGGAGGCAGGAAAAGAAAACCCACTTCAAGATGAATGGCCATAGGCCCGGGAACATCGAGAAAAGTTCCCATGAGTCGTGGTGTTCAGGCTCTTACTGGGATTGCTGGGGTATCCATTCCACCCACTGCCCTGGGAAGTGCCAACCTGCTGGGGTAGTGCCACAAACCATCTCTCATCCCAATTTACCAAAATCACCCTGGCCATGTTTTGAGAACCGTCTAATTTCTGGTCTCAGTTAGCACAGGCTACATTCCTGGCCAGGGTCTACCACTCCAGTTCACGCAATGGCAACCAGCAACTCCATCATCTTGCAACCCAAGCGGCTCTGTCAATGCTCTTGATTTCATCATCCAGGGTCAACCCCACCTCATCTTTTGCAGGCGTGACTGCGCAGGTCATGAAAAAAAGCCGCCATTGCCTAACACCCATTAAGATCAACACCTCAGACATTGCGACGTGGCTCTCCCTCAAGCCCTATACTCCCTGGACGTGAACCATGAAGCCCGATCCCCTAATCTTGAACTCTGCTTCCTGACGCCAGTCAACGTCTGAAATGCTGGTAACCTATCCAAAGCACGAATGAAGTACTGTAGTAGCAGTAGTAGCAGTAGTAGCAGCAGCAGCAGCAGCAGTAGTAGTAGTAGTAGTCGTCGTCGTCGTCGTGGTGGTGGTGGTAGTAGTAGGCAGGCGCCCGCCTCCTGTCGGCGGACCACCTCCGCCTGAACGCCCTGGTAGATGCCCTCCTTTGCCTGTGTTCAAAGCTTCCAAGCAATATTTCAGGGCTGAGGGTGAAGGTAGCTTGCATTTTAGGATCAAAGTTGTAGGATCAACGCTTGAATGTAATTTAAGGCGGTGTTGAGGGCGCTGCTTGGGACTGGGCATTCGGGTCCTTAACTGCAAAAGCAGTGCATTCGCAGTTTCTCTTGCGAGCCGTCGTCCAACCAGGCTCTGCGGCTTCCAATTCGCAGTTGAGAGTGTTCGTCGCGTTTTCGTTGTCTCACTGCGCACCCGCGCTGCCTGAATTTTGAGTTTGACCGGCGCTGGTATTCTGTACGCAAAATTCATGTTCCAAGGCTTGCAAGGCTAATCGACGGCAGTATGTTAAGCCTACAAGATACCCGCCGTGATGCACAACTCCTTGAGGAGGACTAGATTTTACAACCATGGATGGGTGGGAGTTGTGGTGCTAATAGTAAGTAGAAACCCGTGGAGCCTAAGCCTAAGCGAATGGTCCTGCCTGCTTCAGCTCGGCATGGACTTTTTCCAGCTCAGCAGCTAGGTTTGTCCTACAAGGGAGTTACCAAGGCGCGGCTACTTTCCAATCAGCTGGGTACTGCTAGCGCGCCTAATGAAAATTCAGTGGATGCTTGGCGTCCATTGGGGCTTCCGACAGGAGTTTCAGGCACTGTCTACGTCAGGTGTATTTGGGGCCTGAAGGAGCTCCCGTCGCAAGGATTTGGTCTCCTCATGTGTGGGGCCTTTATGACTCGAGCATGCTTGCTCTGGTAGAATGCCATGCGAACACTAGTCTTCAAAAGGAGCTTTCTCAAGGTCTGACCGGATAGGGACTGTATCCTTGTGCTGAAATTGACACGTGCTCCCTTGAGGCTCACTTGGCTCCGGACACCTGGTGCACTTGGCCACCATTACTTCTCTCAGCAGAAACACACTCAGTGGCTGTCCTCATCTCCCTGGCTTGCTTCTCTGTCTCTTCCTGCAGATCGGAGACTTTGGGCAGCCCTAAACCCGTGCATCGGCTTCCAACACCCGGCAAAATGATTAGATATTAAGGGAATCTTGGAGGCACAGTAGAAGGACGCTTCATCCGAACATTTACTGCTCCTGAACTAGACACGTTGCCACAACTGCTTCTCTAGCTTATTGTGCCCTGCGATACACTGCTCACAACCATTCCCACGATTGGCACCGTAGTGTTGGAGTAGCACATCGTAACAATCACTTCGTACAAGTTCTACTACGGTTTGTTGGTTGACAGTTCTGACTGAAGCGCTTTGCCCAACCAACCTCCAGAGTTCCGAATGATAGATACTTGCAGCAACACTGAATATCTGGCGAAGCCTAAGAAGCCACCCTCATATCGTGGCACCTATCTGCTCTAGTGCGCCAGACCGCGATAGCAGCGTTAGCTTTAGAAGCAATCAGCAGTAGAGGCGGCAGGTCATCATCCTTGGGCAATACTCAGAGGCGGTGGCACTCACGGTGGCGGTGTGGTGGAGTGGCAGTTGAGTCGGCGGCAGGGGGGGTCGTCAACCGTACCAGAATTGCTAACCCAGTGTCCGAAGGGGCAGCCTCAAGCAGTAGCCAAAACATCAGATCATGTGATTACAACCTGAACCCTAATGTCGGGCGGCCACGTGTTACAATCCTTCCCGAAGGATGGATAAACCACCTCCATCACCAGCCTTTCAACCAAATTTCTGAATCCTCAGTTCCAACACCCTAAAGCGCGCAACCACCCCGGAAGGGTCCCCTTCCCCCTTCCTGAAATGCCAAATCATTTACACCTCAACTGAGCATTGTTTTTTTCTTTATAAAAAATCTTCTACTGACATGGAGGGCCTACGCAAACTACGTGGAATGGTTGTTTTCCCTGTGGAGGAAACTACGCGTGGATACTCTTGCTATTCAGGTGACTACGCGGACTACGCGGCACACCTGGCCTACACAACGTGAAATGCAATGTCTTATCAAACATACAAACTACGCAGACTACGCGGACAAGATAACCTACACGTGACTACGCGAGACTACGCCAGACTACGCCCTGCAGGCCCGAGGCTACGCGAGCACTCTTGCAGTTTCACGGCCATCATTCATGCAGAGAAAAACGCTGCTCATAATTGTGTGCACACACTATCAATGAACAACTAACTAGAAACATTGCGCCCCCCGAATCTTAAACACCTTCGCTCCCCAGACCTCCTCCGTTTCTTGGAAACTCCGTGCGACACACGGATTACTTGGCAACCCCAAGCGATCTTCAATTGGGAAGATAGGAGTCATAGGAATTACCGAACCATTCTTGTTGTCACCGTCCTGGAGCTCTTTCGTCCGCTTCCACGCGGCCTGAAACATGCGGGAATTCGCCAATAGCACTCAGCCCCGAATCCGGCAACCCGATCTTGGGACCGTGTCTAGTACTGAATTGTGGTATGAACTCAAAAGGTAAGTGCATGTACTGCTGATGTACTGGCTTACAAAACATTACAGATCAGCGACCATTGTAGTTTGCCATGTTGACGGCACAGATTAGTTCAGGTTCAAGTACTACAGGAGAAAACGCGTCCAACTCGCACCTGCGGTGATCGGACGTTCTACAGCTTAGTTGGCTGAATGCCCCATGGGCGCATGACTTGTGCGGTCGTGGATGGGCGTCTTGTGTTGAAGGGGTGGGGCAGGGGGCTTTGATGCTGGCACAGGACAAGTCATTAGAGACTTAGGGTTTTGGACTGCTATGAAAAGCCCACATTCCCATGGCAAATGGTGAGGTTCTTCAACGCTGGGCGGGAAGAGGCGTGCGAGTTTGCTGGGCAGTGTTTGTTATTCTCCGGACCTTGAATGAAAGGCTATGAGGCTGAGGTTTCAAGCATCGGCGCGCAAGGGGTGTAGAGAGTTTCGGCCTTTGGCGTCTGGTCTCAATGTGAAGTTCGTCAAACACTTCCAACCAGCGAAAAGGAGAGACCAGGTTTTGAATAAGGGCTTCCAGTCGGTGTCCGCACAGGGAAGGCCTTCGGCGACCTCGGACAAGCGGCGGACCTACACAACTGATTATCACTGCAGTATAGGGTACAGCATGGTCTGCTTGGAATGATTTGCTTACATGGAATCTCTGCGATCAAAACACAAAATGCCAATATTTCAGACGTCTTGAAGCCTGTCTCAACGATGAACATGAAAAGTCCCAAATCCAAGACCGGCAGAATACTGTTAATCTCTAGCGTCCTCAACCTGCTCCTTTGGACACGCCTCCCGCACGGCTGCGTGCGCTTCTGCCATGCGCCGAAGCTCCGCACGCTCAGCCACCTTCCGCTCCAAGGGAGAAGAAAGTCCCCAGTAGGTTCGGGCTTGAAGTTTAGGATCTTTGGGCGAGCATGTTGACATGCTGGTTACACTTGAGAATGAATGATTATCCATCTTTCAGAAAGCCCGCCTCATAGAGCACTCCCAAAGATTTAGGGGTGCACGCATGAAACAGCCCGGTATAGACTTCACAGCCCACTAAGAGTTCTCGCCAACCCTGAGTTCTCAGAGCCCTCATGCGGTCCTCCAGCTCCTCCATGCGCTGCGTCAAAGCTCGCAGCTTTGCAGCTTCCTGGCGGAACACACAAACCAAGTCTTGAACTACAAAGATTCAAGCGGCCACGAAGATCGTGATGATGCTGGGATGGTTGCTTATGACTTAAGTTCGAACAAGTCTTGGGGCAGCGCCATCTACAGACTAGAAATCCCACAGATCGTCCGCTAGGTTTGTCGGTAGACACGTCACCGCATGACAGGACGCTGCAGAATCCCTATAAATCTTAGCCCTGCGTGAGTCCAACCAGTCATGCCTGAAGAAGCATCCTCGCCCTTTGGGGATTATACGAGGAGATGCCTGCTTCAGAAACAGCACAGCTTTTAGCAGGGGACCTCTGAGCCCAGAACTCGGCAAAAGAGCCCGCGTTTGGGCATCCCCAAAGATAAAGTCCAGCATGCTCCAGCATAGCTTCATAGGTACTTGAAGTAACGCTAGAGTTATGGCAATTGAAATATCATCTTAGCTTGAGGTACTTAAGCCCACCCTCCCCCAATCGTCTACATGGTGGGCCACCGAGGATGGTACTTCCGAAGCTCCGGAATCCGGTCTAGGTTCTTACTGCACTTGGCACTGTGGCACATTGGGGGCCCATCCCTCCAAATTAGACGGCCTCACGGAGCCCCTTTTCCGTCTCCAAGCGATCAGCTCGCAGGCCGCGACACTCCTCCAAACGTAGAGGCATAAAACATCAAGAAGCCTTCTGGGGTTTAGGGTTCAGGTTGGATACCTACATGTTTCAGTTCATGGGCCAACCCTGCATAGCCATAACTATGCCAAAGTACCATGCTTCCTAAGGGCTTGGGATGTGTAGAAGTGGACCTGCTGTTGGAAAACCCTGCCTGACCCTATGCAGCCTACACACCGTTCAGCCTGGAGTGGATAGGTCTAACTTCAGGTTCCCTCCTTGAGAAGAAAAGCTCATGAGTGGCTTTGCACATCAGGGCTTCTAGAGGAATACGAGCATGGTATAGTACCCTGGTTCTGCTCAAACGGTCAAAGAGTCGAAAAAGCGCTCATGCGCGCTCGAAACTGAAACCTTGCTTGATGGGCTCTCTTCTGGAGATCCCCTGTTTTTCACAAGGTATCTGAGGGATGTATTTGACTGGCTATCTGGATCTGAGCACGGTTTGGGAAATCACCCTGCGATAACCTCTGTCGTACAAACGTCCGTAGCAGGGAGTTTTCAGCCTTCATACTTTAAGGCCCAACAATTAACATGTTGAGCCTTTAGGTGCAACAAATGATCCAGATTATAGCAAATGCTAAGACAAGCAAAATTGTACACCTGGGCCCTTGGGGAAAGGTTTGCACCCCAGTCCTCGGCCAAGGCAAGCTCCTTCTCTTCCTGGCAGCCGCGTTCCCTGTTTTGTTCAGATTTCCTGGGGTAAGCAGGACTCCTGGGCTGGTTGCCTCTTGTGACATGGAATCGAATCAGGCATCAGACAGGTTTCCACCATAACCGCGCAAGGCCAGGTCTAGCATTCTGAGCGGTCGCACATCTTGTCAGAAGGAGCAGGCTTAATCTCCAGCACACAGCCGCACGTTTAATTACACGCGGCCTTTATACCTTGTGCAGAAGGCTGTCTCGGCACTTCCCATACTGAACCGAAGCCAAAACTCAAAGCAAAACCGGTCCCCGACAGAAGCCAAGCCAAACGCAGCTTGAAAGCCCAGAATCCCAAGCCTAATTTCAAAGCGAAATATGAAGCGCTCAACTCAAAAGCAAGCGCTGAGGATGCGGCAGCTTCTGCTAAGGTGTCCTCAAGCAGGCGCATTGCACAGTGCGAAGCCCTCAAAACGCCAAACATCGCAGTCGAAGCTACTTAGACTTTACCATACCAGACAGTCTCTCTGAAGCTCAACCCTAGACATCAGACTCCAAACCTGAAATGTGAACTGGCAGCAAGAGCCACTCCTCCGCCATGTCCTTCACCTGTCGGTGGCTTTGGGAATCAGGGTTCAGCTATAGTCCCTACCACACTATGTCACTGTGTTGGATGAGGGAGAGAAACCATTGGCAGGCTAAGCTTGGGAGAAGGCCGTGATTTTCAAGTCTGCGCTCAAGGCGCCTTTTGGCAGCTTGGAGGAATCAAGCCCAAGCAGGCAAGATCCAAAATCCTCAGCCCGACAAGAATCACCTACGTGTCATGCCCTTAGCAAGTACACGGTATATTTCTTTAGAACATCAAGGGATTGGCAATGCTGAAGCATAGCTCACCCCTACATCGTTTTCTCAACTTACCTTTGGAGCCCATGCAACAAGAGAATGAATCTTTGGGTACATAGATGAATCTTAAGTATCTCAAGACAACCAGAGGTTAAGCCAGGTCCACAATGGTCCTCGCCACTACAGTACATAGGGGTCTCACATATGACCCTTTGTGATATGCTGTCCAAAACCAAACATTTCGAAACCATGGACCGACGAAGGGATGCAAGCTTGAGAAACTGCAGAGACAAGAAGCCTCCAATTGTCCAACTTTATAGCTCAGTCCACATCAGCCCTTGCCTTATCCCGATAATGCGTCAAAATGAGAACCATCCCTGCGAGCAACTCTAATACGTCAACTTGTAGACTCTATAGAACCCCTCCCAAAAAACGGTACTGTCAAGGAGGAGTCCGAGATCATGATCGTTAACAGGACTCCCATGGCCCCGCGGGCCTCCCCCATCCTCTCCCGAAGCGCCGCAAACTCGGCGACTCGGGCGCCCTCTTCGGGAACGGGATGGTTCAACGTTAAGAGACTTGGAGTGGAGAGCTTGGGGTTCAGAGCTTAATGCTGCACAGCTTTGGGTTAGATTTTTTGTTGGATTGCTGGGAAGACGTCAATGCAATCTGCAGCACCGTATTTTTTTGCGATAGCGGGTTAACGACCGACATTGGCTCGAAGGTTGAAGTTGGGCCTCAGGGAAAGGCATAGGCTGCAGGCCTGTGAAGACGCATGGCCCTTCTACCTCACAGATGATTTGTGACTCTTCTGTACAAACCCCACCTCTTAGCAAATCGGCCTAGACCCCGACGAGCTGAAGGGAGGGTACTGCCCATTTCAGGCTTCCGAAACTTTTTCTGGAGGCCCTCCGAATATCACCAGGAATCAATTCGGCAAAGTGCTCCCTAGAAGCCTGGACCAGTAATCTGACGCCCCGAATCCCAACCTCGGCAGCTGTGGCAGCGTCGAGCATCTCCTGCTCTCGCCTCACGGTGTTCGAGCAATCGGCTTAACCCCTGAGGCTTAGGGTTAGATCGATTCTGCTGTGAAAATGGCCAGAACAGAAACGGTAAGTTCTTCGGCACAGATAATTCACAGCACCAGACACATCTTTTGAGATTTCTAAATACATCGATCTACATCTATGTATACTTGGAGGTTCAAATTGAACCATCCTTGGGAAATCAGACATGGGCTGCGAGAGGTTGCCTATGACAACTTAGACAGAACCAACTAAGCTGTGGTATTCCTTATCATCACAAATGACTAACTTAGCCCACAATCAGAGGAAAGAGGTCCATCGGCTCATACCCGGCAGGTTCGGGGTTTGCGATCGGGATTTTGGCAGGTTTAGGATTTCGGATCGAAGGATACTGTGTCCACAGTCAGCTACTGAGGTGTCCGCTCAAGCATACTTGATCCCTTCAACTCTATCAGCAAAGCAAATTCGTGATCTTCAAGCCGGCATGGGCTTGGTACAAGCAGGAAAACATTGTGCTTCAAGCTGCTGAGACCATGGGAAACGTGAACATCCCCTCAATCCCAGACCTCATGTGCCCAAGCTAAACAAGCTCACTCCGGTTTCGCAACTGCACCCGAGACCCCGGCCGGTTTCCTTCCGCCACAGTGGCATCGCGCCTTTGAATGGCGGCCAGCTCCTGCATAGGCGCACATGAGCTGCGTCTTCCTGAGCCTGGCAAGAAAGCTACTCTTACAGAATACTACAACCAAAGGGAGAATAAACTCTTACTTTCTACTTGGGACTATAATGCCTTTTTTTAGAGCTCCTCACACACAGCGAGCGTGAGATTTAGCCATTGGGGAGGGGCTACTACTTGCGGCGTGTTGCAGCAAACCTGCCTCTGACTTCAATTGCAAGATGCATTGAGGAAACAATGCCATACACCAGGCAGGCTTGACAAAGAATTACGCTGCTGCGGGCCCGTCCAATGGACCAAGCCTGCCATGTAGCTACCATTATATTCGGGCTGAAGTGGGGCTATGTTGGGGTTACATGGAATATCAAACGGAAACTACGGTGGATACAAAAAATCCTGCATGACCCTTATAGTACCTTATACCATGGGAAGTATGGTATCATATTATACTAAGGTCATGCAGGATTTTTGTATCAACAGTAGGGTTTAGACCACTATGTAAGGAAACTGAGATGACCTTGCCGACTGACCATCACCCCCACATGTTGACTGCTGTCATTGATTCACCGACTGCAAGAGCTCCCAAGTGACCACTGACACAAACATTGTTGTTGTGCTGCCAAGGCAGCTGCTACCATGGTAATGGTCACATTAAACGGAGCTAATTAAGATGGACTTCTTGGCACACCTCCTGGCGGAGAGCCTCGCGTTGGGCACGAAGCTTCGCGAGCTCAGCTTCCTCACTGGTCCGGTCGCCGCTTTATCAGGATGCTAGTTGCGGTTATGATGGCAGGCCAGCTAGTCCGGTGCAAACTCCGTGGTTGTCGTGGGGGGGAGGTTAGTGAGTCGAGCTTCGGGGATTTGGCATCTCTCGGGTGCAGCACCACGCTGAATCTTGAGGTGTGATGGACCAAGACATCCCGAGCCTGGTGAGGAACCTCTCCGTGTAGATCCCGGCGAGACGCATAAACTAAATTCACCCATGCAATGAAAACAGGCTTGGAACGGAGTAGGAATGCCGTCCCAAGGACCAAGGAACACTAACTCAAGACCTAAGTCTAAAACTCCGGACTCCTGCCCAATACTTCAGTCCTTGGATAATCCAAGCTTTGTACATCCCTAACCTCAAATCCTAATCTGTCATGATGAGCCCTGCGATCGTTGAGGCCACATAGCTTCAAAATCTATGAACTACACTACTCAGACGCTGCCGCTATCCCCATATCCTTCTTCCGGCTTTTGATGTGTCGTTAAGCCACCAATCCCTGCTAATGATTGAGGAGCAAGGAATTTGATGATTGGTGGATCCTATCATCACCTGGGTACCTCTCAGAGTTCTGGCTCCCTGGCAAAAACCGGAACAATGTGATTAACTTGTTAACCTCATGATACGCACCACCCCGGAGAAGTATCTGCCATGCGTCAAGGGCCGAGGCTTTAAAGTGCCACTCTGCCGGCTCCTCTTTTTGTCAATACCGGGCGTCTTTCGGTGAGTTGCAGCGTCTTGGGAAGGTTCCAACTCTTCTTAGCGGGCGATATATAAATGGATATTTCATACGGGCCCTTATATTGGCATTTGGGCGTCTAAAGTTTGGTTGTCACAAAACAAGACTACAGGTGAAGGTTCATTGGAGTTATGGCGTGGGGTCGTGTTGGGGCGTAGAGCTCTAGGCATATTGAATGCATGGTAGAACCCTCCCACATGGCTAGTCCTTTTACAGCTGCGCCAAGGGTGAAGGGCTGTTAAGCCCAGAACCCTACAGTGCCTTTAAGCTCCAGGCTTCAGTCCAGTAGTAAAGAAAGGCTTTAGGATTCACAGGCTCGGGCCAAAACATGGGACTCAGCCCCAAAACATTATCTGGTTTCTGCAGATCTATACTACCTCGCTCCTGCTAAACCGTGAAGGCTCTCTTCTCTGTCTCCGTCTATCGCTCTCCGTCTGCGCCTCTTCAGCTGTAGGTGGGCGCTCTTCGCCGACAGCCATGGCAGCTTCGGAGCGCCAGCTCGAAGGTGATTTTGTTTTCAGGGCTCCAGGGATTGGGGGACTGGAGTCTAACAATAGGTCCTCATCAAGCCTTGCAAGGTCTTGCAATTTGAGCCAGAGGTCTGAACCTCGACATTTCCTCGTAAAGCTAGTCCCCAAGGTTTGCTTGAGGTGAAACAGCTACGCCATCCAGGAGCACTTTTCTGATGAACTAACCCGCAAAATCAAGAGCCTATAAAAAATGTGTGCACCAGAGACTTCCGTACCTAGAGTTGGCTGTTGCGAACCTACTGACCTTCGAACGCCATATTATAGGTTCGCAGAGGGTCACTGGTGTGGACCGACAACTCTGAAGATGTTTTGAGGGGTTCAACTCTTCACTCGCGCCGAGCTCACGAGGCCCAATTTGAGCGGCATATGAGCCATAGTCAATTGTACAACTCTTCATACTATGTATGCCGGATGAGGACATTTTGGTAGAACTGACTGCAAA